CAGCTCCAAAAAAAAAAAAAAATATTTCCACCAATAATGAGAGCTGGAATATTTTTTCACTATGGTAAAAGAAAATTATTGCTGCTTAATCTGCAATGCTTTAAAAGCAATACCGAAAAAAGACAATTTAAAGTAACAAAATGCAGGGTAAATACCAATCAGAGTTTCCACCTAACAGTGAAGTGAGAAAGAATAAACTTCAAGCTTTAAAATCACTTGTGACTGCCCAGGAAAATACGTTCTGTAAGACGGATGGACAGTCTAAGGTTGTAACTGAAGCTTCATTCTTTTTGTTATAAAATTACGCAAAAGCATAAACCATTTTCTGATGATGATAAGAATATATTAAAGAATAATTCGGAGCAATGAACAACTGCAAAGAGATCTACTCCGGTACGTTTTTTTTTTCGCTACAGCTTGATGAGTCGACTGATATCATGGATACAGTTACTTATTTTCATTCGGATGGTCTTTAATGATTTTTCAACAATAGAAGTGTTAGCTCAGAATATCCTACATGAGCCATACGACAAATACGGAAGTCTTGCGGAGGATGAATAAGGAAATAGAGCTTATGCTTATAATAAAAGAACGGAAAACACAATATTTTGGTCACATCATAAGAAATCAAAAGTATGAACTACTCCAACTTATAATCGAAGGCAAAGTCAATAGCAAAAGAGGACCAGGAAGAAGACGCAACTCTTGGCTTAAAAACCTACGGCAATGGACGAACATGACCTCCATAGAACTATTCAGGGCTGCTACAAATAAGATTAAATGGGCAAATGTAATGGCCAACGTTCTTAAGGATAAGGCACCGTAAGAAGAAGAAGAGTCGCTAACAATGATGTCCTTAAAAGGCAGAACACGTGGCATTGATTTATTCACGGAATTCAAACATTTTGTCGGTAAGATTGATCTGCCTTGCTTAATCTCGTTTCAATAACGACAGATTGGGCTCCGGTAATGATTGGTGTTAATAATGGATTTATATCACTATGTCACTGACTTCATTAATTACCACTGCCTTATTCATCAACAGGTCCTGATCAGTAAAAGGCTTAACACAAAAGACGTGATGGCTATTGAAATTGTCAATTCAATAAGAGGCAAATCTCTGCAAATACGGCTGTTTAAGCATCAATTGGATGACATAGAACCAGATTTAATCTTACACACCACGTAAGGTGGCTGAGTCGCAGCAAGTTTTTCAAAGGTTTCGAGATTTGTTAAATGATATTATTAAGTTTCTTGAAGAACGGAGTGATGATCATCAGCAATTACGTGACTTAGACTGGCAATGTGAGTTAGCATTTCTAGCAGATTTCACTGGTAAACTGAGCACATTGAATCTGGAACTGCAAGGCAAGAACAGTACATTTTAGAACTAATGAGTTCTATTGCATCATTTAAACTTCAAGCAGTATCTTTGATAGTTGATATTGAAAAGAAAAGGTTTCTAAGATTTATCTAACATATAAGATCACATGAAAAAACACCCTGCCTATGTTTTAAGTCACAGAAGTATAAAGCAGAAATGCAGTCAGTGATATCAGACTTTGAAATCCATTTTAGAGATTTCAATAAAATTCACAATTTGGTCAAATTTATCAATTATTCATATTATGATACTATTCAAGACACCTTTGAAATATCCAAATAATTTGCAGAGATATTCCAAATAGATCAACTTTTTATTGAAAATGAAATAATTGCTATGCGCTGCGATGTATTTTTGAAATTAAGATCAGGTTCACATCTAGACTTTTGGCCATTGGTGAATATTGACAAATATTGAAATTTAAAAAAATGTGCTAAACAACTGCATTTATGTTTTGGTTCAACCTATTTATGTAAATCAGCGTTTTCATATTAAAAAAAAACAAAAAAGATTAAACAGCGTTCCAGCTTGACTGATGCTCATATATTGGATTCTTTAAGGTTGGCCATTTCCAACTACAGGCCAGACTTTAAGAACCTTGCAAAAGTTGTTCAAACGCAAGTTTCACATTAATTTATTTTCTAATTTAAGATAGTTGGAAAAATAAATAAATAAGATTTACTACTTTTGTTTTATTTAGGTATTACTAATACACATTCATCTTCCTCATGTTTTCAACCCCGTCTATCTTGCGCCGCTCTTATCCAGTTTTTATTGAGTCTTCTTAAATCGTCAGTCCATCTTGTAGGTGGTCGACCGACGCTTCTCTTGTCTTCCCTTGGCCTCCATTCCAATAACCTCTTTGTCCATCGCCCATCTGTCATTCTGGCTATGTGTCCTGCCCATCTCCATTTTAGTCTGGCTATCTTCTCGATGATGTCAGTCACTCCGGTTCTTCTCCTGATGTCTTCGTTTGTTATTCTGTCTCGGAGAGTTATTCCTAACATGGACCGCTCCATTCTTCTCTGCGTGACTCTCAGTTTGGTAGCTGCTGCTTTTGTTAAGGTAAGTGTTTCTGCTCCGTACGTCAAGACTGGGAGGACGCACTGATCAAATACCTTTCTCTTTAGGCATGTGGGCAGCTCACTTTTAAAAGTTTCTCTCAGTTTTCCAAATGCTGCCCACCCAAGGCCGACTCTTCTCTTCAGTTCATGAGTCTGGTTATCTCTGCCAATCATAATTTCATGTCCCAGGTATTTATATCTATCTACGAGTTCTATTTCTTTCTCACCAATACTGATGTTCTGGTTGGGCACCAAATTGGTCATGATTTTTGTTTTCGAGATATTTATATTTAAACCTACATTTTCTGTAGCCACAACGAGTTCCTGTACCATCTCTCTTGCCATACCTAGATCTTCAGCTATTATAAGTATATCATCGGCGAAACGTAAGTTGTTTAGATATTCTCCATCTATTTTTATTCGCTTTGTCATCCAATCCAAATTCTTAAAAGCATGTTCTAGCACCGTATTAAAAAGTTTAGGTGACATTGGGTCTCCTTGTCTAACCCCCCGTTCTATTTTTATGCGATTACTGTTAGTATGTAATTTGACAGTGGTTGTTGCCTGCAGGTATATTTTGTATAATAATTTAGTATATCTATAATCTAGCCTGCATTCTTTAAGCTCCTGTAATATTTTGCTTAGCTAAATTGTGTCAAAGGCTTTGTGAAAATCGATAAATATTAGAAATAGAGGTTTATTGGTCTGATAAAAGTAACTAAAGGACTGAGACAAGGATGCAGTATGTCACCTTTACTGTTTAATTTATATATTGAGGCAGCCCTTCAAAATTGGAAAAACCACTGCCAGGGAATGGGAATCCCAATAGGAAATGACGTACTGTTCTCCCTGAACTTTGCGGATGACCAAGTCGTTCTAGCTCAAGATTCTAATGATCTAGAATTTATGATAAAGCGTCTATACAGAGAATATGTAAAATGGGGGTTAAAAGTCAGCATGAAGAAAACGGAATATCTAGTTATCAATTCAGATGCAAGGTTTGAAGTGTTGATAGACGAGGACGTGGAAATCACACAAGTGGAAAAATTGTAGTAGTTTTTCTAATTGTGGTAATTGTGGTAATTGGAGGTTCCGTATTGTTATCTTTTTTCTTGATCTATATAACTCTGTGTAGAACTCTTCGACTATTCTTAATATTTCATCTCTGTTCGTTGTTTCTTCTCCAGTTCTGTTTCTCAGTTTGTTAATTTCTATTTTCCCCTTTTGTACGCTCCTCTTCAAAACTTTCATGTTCTTATTTTTCTCTATTGCCTGTTTTGTTTTTTCTACATTGTAGTTTCTTATGTCTTTTCTTATTGCCTTTGTGATCGTCTTATTTATTTGATTTATCGCTTCTTTGCTTGCAGTGTTATCTCCTTTCATTTGTCGCCTTAGTTCTATAAGGGTTTTCGTGGGTTGACTCAGTTTTTCATCTTTTTTGCTTGTCGGACAATATTTAGTTTGAGCCTGTTGCATTGTGTTGACTATTTGTTTGTTCAATATATTGATGTCAGCTGTTGTTGTATCTTTCAATGAATTCCCAATATATTTTTCGAACTCCTGAATGTTAGTTGGTTTTGTCCATTTCTTTGGTTGTTTCTTATTTATCATTTTGAGTCTTTCTTTTTCGGTTGATATCGTTATTTTAGCTCTTACTAACCTATGATCACTGCTTGTACTGAACTGGTTTAGCACATTTACGTCTTTAAATAATTCTTTTTTGTTTGTTAAGAAATAGTCGATTTCGTTCCTTGTTTTTCCATCAGGACTTTCCCATGTCCATCTTCTGTGTTTTTTCTTTTTAAAGAAGCTGTTCATTTGATAGAGATTGTTTTCCAAAAGGAAAGTCAGTAGTTGTTTGCCTCTATCATTTCTGCCTTCGCTTCCAAAATTTCCCAATATTATTTCAGAGGGGTCTTCCTTAGTGCCTATTTTGGCGTTGAAGTCACCACCTATTATTAAGAAGTGGCCAGGATTTTCCTTGATTGCACAGGATATTTGGTCGTAGAATATTTGGACTTCTTCGTCTGGATGTCCTGTAGTAGGGGCGTACACTTGAATGAACTTTAGGATATATCTGGCGTTTATTTTGATGTTTAAGTAGACCACTCTTGTTGAGATTTGGTTTATTGACACAATTCTGTTAGCAATTCTTTTAGCAATTCTTTTGTGAATAAAGAAGCCGACGCCTCCGACTGTGTATTCCTCTTCTCCTTTGTAATAAACTAATACATATTGGCGAGCAATAAAACTAATCCATCCAGAAGTTTAGCGTTCAAAGGCGATATAGGCCCAGTATAGTTAAAAATTCCTAGTCGGTAGATCGCAAAGGAATTAGAAAGGCAGACAGTAGATCTCTAGTCCGATTAAGGTGGCCATCCCTGGGTATTCCATTAAAAATACTCAATTCTATGGCGACTTCTGGTTTTTCCGGATGTAAATATTTTAAACGTGTAGATCAGCTATCAGTTTCAGACATTATGTAGCTTAAAATAATTTTATCATTGTTCTCTCTAAATGTTCAATATATTATACAATTATTATATTTCCAGCACTGATAGAGGAGGGATATCATAGCACCAATCCATATCACAATTCAATTCATGCCACCGACGTAACTCAAGCAATGCATTGTTTTCTGCAAGAAACAAGGGTAAGTGAATTTTATGCTGTATATTTGTTTGGTGAAAGAGCTAAATGTAATTAAAAAAATAGTAGTGTTATTTTAAAATTTGAAAATATATTATTTCAGAACTGCTTGCTAAATAGTTCATCCGTAAAATAGCACTTTATTTAATAAGATATTTAATTGGCAATTAGGATATTAACTACAATAAAGACGTTACAATTGCATATTATTAATTGCACACACTTAGCAGTAGCTATTAATTATATATCACCAAACCGATGTCATATCCCAATAGTTTTTTTTCAGCTTATTTGGCAAATTATCGGATTATAAAAGTCAGATTAAATGATTTGTTGCAATCTAGTTGCCAGAATTGAACAAGAACAGTCTTTATTTTGCAAGTAATTGAATACCAGTAGAGAAAACTTAAATCGTTTAGTCCAGAAATCATTGCTCTATTTTAGAATATTTATATCAGATTTATCAACAATGTTTTTGTTTCTTAACATTGTGATAAGTTGGTTGGGTATGAACGTTTTTTAGTAATTTCTTAGATTTTGATAATACTAAATGCTTGAATATTGAGTTTATTTGAAACATACCATGAGATCTCTTTCAGATAAGTATTTTTCGTATTCACTCATCAAGTTGACTCTCCTCATTAGAGTCCTAATAGTGCGATTGGTTTAAATATTTTGTTGTTTAATTTGAATTATATTTAATGATATTACAGTTTTCACTGCTTTACCTCGATCTCCTATTTCTACATATATTCCTTTAATTTAATATATTGAAAATGATTATACAAGCATATATATATATATATATTATATATATATATATATATATATATATATATATATATATATTATATATATATATATATATAATAGCACTACGAGCCTAGTAGGCCCATGGCTTGAGCTGTTATTGTTTTCCATTTCTTCCTATTATTAGCCTTGTCCTTCCATCTTTCTATTCCCAGTGTTTCTAGGTCTTTCTCTACTTCTTGCTTCCATCTACTTCTCGGCCTTCCTCTTCTTTTTTTTGTACCCATTGTATGCATCAGAATCATTTTTGGTACTCGAGAATTTGTCATTCTTTCTATGTGCCCTAGCCACCTGAGTCTCTGAGCCTTTACTACTCCCACTATACTAGGATTCTTGTACATATCTTCTAATTCTTTATTTGTTCTTCTTTTCCATGTATTGTCTACTATCTTGCCTCCAAATATCTTTCTCAAAACCTTTCTTTCCCATATTTCGAGCATACCTGTTTCGCCTTTGTTCAGTGTCCACACTTCACTGGCGTAGGTTACCACTGGTTGTATAACTGTTTTGTAAATCCTTATTTTGGCATTCCTAGATATCTGTTTACTTTTTAATAGCCTGTTTAAGGAGTACACGCATCGGTTTCCTGCCATTATTCTTGATTGGAGCTCCTCTCTAATATTTGGTTTGCATGTGAACATCGACCCCAGGTATGTAAATCTTTCCACTGCTTCAAATATATATGCTTTTTCACCCTCTACTTCTATTTTTAGATTTCCTCCTTTTTGTTCACTGTCATCTATCCATTCCATGTATTTTGTCTTACTTTCGTTGATGGCTAAGCCTATTTTCTTTGCCTCTCTATCTAGCCTCTTTACTACTTCTTGTAGCTCCCATTTGCTTCGAGCCAGTATTACTACATCGTCTGCAAAGGCTAGACATTGGTGCTTTCTTTGGTATAACAATCCCTCTCTGTTGACATTTGCATCTCGTATGACCTTCTCCAAACACAAGCTGAATAGTATCGATGATAGGGGATCTCCTTGCCTTACTCCTTCACTGACTTCAAATTTTTCCGACATTATATTATTTATTTTAACTCTGCTCTCAGTCTTGGACAACGTTATTTGTATCATTCTTATAAGTTTTCTACTGATACCCAATTCTTCTAGTGCTTTGCTCATTTGGTTCCGTTTTATTCTATCGTACGCTTGTTTGAAATCAATGAAGAGGACCCTTGTCGGCAGATTGTGTTGATAACTTTCCGCTTGCAATTCTCTGAGCGTAAATATCTGATCTGTTGTACTTCTACCAGGTCTGAAGCCACATTGGTACTCGCCGACAATGTTTTCTATCACTCCTGCCAATTTGTCCTTTATACACGCTGCAAGAATTTTGTATGCAGTATTCAATAGTGATATCCCTCTGTAATTTTGACAATCTGTCCTATCGCCTTTCTTATAAAGTGGGCATATAATTGCATCTGTCCATTCTTGTGGTAGTTGTTCTTTAATCCAAATCTCCTTTATTAATTTGAACATTTGCTCCTCTAGCGTTTTCCCTCCATATTTGAACATCTCTGCAGTTATATTATCACTTCCTGGACTCTTGTTATTTTTTAATTTCTTTATTATTTCCTTTATCTCGTTTCTGGTAGGGGTGTTTCTTCTGTCTCATTTATTGGTTCCTATGTTTCTCCGTTCTTATAGGCTGTTGCTGTTCTATCCTGTTTTCGTCATTTAGCAATTCATCGAAGTATTCTTTCCATCTAGCGGCTATTTCATTTTCTCCACTAATGGCGTTTCCCTCTTTATCTTTGTAAAATATTGTTTTTTGTTGGTATCCTCTTTTTTCATTTTTTACTCCCTGGTATAAATTTCTAATTTCTCGATTTTTGTAATTTTCTTCTATTTCTTTCAGCTGATTTTCCATGTACTTTCTCTTTTTCATTCTCAAAACTTTTTTTACGATTTTTCTTTGTTTTTCATATCTGTTTCTTGTTTCTTCCGTATCACTTTTGATCATATCCATCCTTAGTTTACTTCTTTCTTCAATTTCCTTCTGGCATTCTTCGTCAAACCAATCCTTTTTCTTTTTAGTTATATTTTTATTGCATTCTTTAGCTGTGTTACTGATAATCTGCTGAATTTTGTCCCAGTCCTTGTCTATGTGCCCTTCTAGGTGTATTTCATTTAATTTTCTATCGATACCTTTTCTATACATTTCTTGTTCTTCTTGCGTTACAAGCCGCACTGGTTTATTTGTGTTCTTATTTTTTCTTTTGCGATTTTTTTCTTCCGGTATCAGTTGAGCCATTTTAATTCCTAACATGAAGTGATCCGAGTCAGCGTCTGGTCCTCTGTATGTTCGCACGTTCTTTATACATTTTCGGTCTTCTCTCTCTATTAGTACATGGTCAATTTGATTTAATGTTTTTCCATCTGGGGATCGCCATGTTGCTTTGTAGATGCTTTTTCTCTCGAAATATGTACTCATTATTAGCATATTTTTTTCTTTGGCAAAATCTATCAAAAACTGCCCGTTCTCATTAGTTTCCTCGTGTTTGCTAAATTTTCCTATAGTTGTTCTATATATTTCTTCTTTTCCTATCTTCTGCATTTGCGTCCCCCAGTACTACTTTAATGTCATATCTTGGAATACTTTCAAATACCCTATTAACTTCACAGTAGAAATCCTCTTTTACTTCAATATCTTTTTCTTCTGACGGTGAGTGAATGTTAATGAATGTGATTTTTTGATATTTTCCTCTTATTCTTAGACAACATAGACGATCAGATATTGGTTTAAACTCTACAATTGATGCTTTTAACGCTTTATTTACCAAAAATCCTGTGCCTAATATTCTGTTTCTGCCTCCACTATTAAAAAATAAGCTATTTTCAATTTCCAGCATTTCCTGACCCAGTTGCTTTGTTTCTTGTAGTGCCACTACGTCAAATTTAAACTTTTCAATTTCTTTAGTTTCAGTGTTTCAGTTTTCCTTCCTCAAAAGTACCCCTAACGTTCAACGTTCCTACCATTAAGTGATCTTTTGGATATGTGTTTCTATTGCCTTTTTGTATTTTTTATCTTTAAATCACCCTTTCCTATGACAATGTTACCGGTATTCATGTCCTTGTTCCTTGCGTTGTTCGTCTTCGTATTTTTACTATCATAGCCGTTTTCTAGTTTTTTGAGTTTGTTATTTCCATTTTATCTTCCTTGCTATTCCACTTCCATTCAACACCATTTATCATCATTTTCCTTGCTCCTATTTTGACTTCGTTTCCTTTGTTTCTTTCCTCTTGTGCAATTTTTCTTATTATTTTTTGAATTTCTCTATCTCTCACCGTTGTGTCATCGTTGATGTATACCTTTTCCTTTTTGACGTCCTTTAACTTTGCTTTATTCTTCATAACTTTTATCTTTTCTTGTTGGTTCTCCATTTCAATTAGGCACGTTTTTGGACCTAGTTTGTGGGCCGTCTTTATTTTGGCCTCTACTGCAAGGTGATCTTTTATAAAATTGCCAATTGCTTCCTTCAATACCAGCTGATCCTGCGTATCAATTGCTAGCCCGTTCATTACCACATTATTTCGCCTTCTCTGTTTTTCTATAATTTCTATGTTGTCTCGTATTTCCCTTAATTCTTTCTTAATCTGTATGTTTTCCTCTTTTAGAATTTTATTATCATTCTTTAGTTCCTTGTTTTCCCTTATTAGATGTTCAACTACCTCCTTGTATTCCTTTTGGTCTTCTTTTATTTGTCTAATGTCGCTGGTTAGGTTGCTCATCATTTCTAGCAATTTATCAAGTTTTGCTCCATCCTCTTTTCCTCCTGTCTTCTGAGGGGTTCTTGTTAGTTTTTTATTTTTTCTGGATCTCTCTTCCTCTTGCTCATCATCCTCTCCTCTATTCTTTCGTTTTGCTCCTTCATCTGTTGTTGTATCGTCACTGTCCATATACGTTTTACCTTGTAGATATTTTTCCATCCTTGTATGCTTTTCTTCCCAGTGTTAGTTCTTATCAGTTAACCTCGCTTTTTTCCCTTATCCGATTATTCACTTTGTTATTGTTTTTTTGCAGTTTTCGGTGTTTATTTTTGCACAGTTGTTACCTTATTCAGTTATCTCAATTCTCACTACAACGTATTGAATTATTTCCCGTTGCAACTCTCGAATTTCGGGTTTATCGCAGACAGAAAATAAAACAAAAATCTTCAACTCCGCGCCACGTTGCCGAATCCCATTATAC